AAATAATAAACTACATCAATATTTTATGGAATGAACTAGTCATTTTAAAAATGTCTCAAATTTTCAAGCAATTTATCATTGCTCCTGACATAAACAGTAAAAGAATCCCACTTGAACTAAGTCTGCAACATTTATCACTTACCTACTACATAATAAGAAATTGATTCTGTATTTCTGTCCACTTTTGCATTTGAACCTATCTAACATGGGGGGAAATCATAAAAAGACTATGGCAGAATATTTTGATGAATGGAAAAATTCAGAATAAATCTTTTGATATCCTCAATACAGTGGGACAAAACTCCCAAGTTAGGAATAAGTTCCTAACAGCAGGAGAAACATCTTGAACTCTTTGGTATAAAATGTGTCACTGGCACATTCTAATCCCCACAGGAGTAACAAATCCAGGTCTTTGATTTCATTTGCACAAGATGTTCAATGAGCCCTTCCTTGAAAAGTTCTTATGCAAGGTATTGCACAATTTATTGCATTTCCATTTGACTACTGCAGACGTTGCTTATGGTAACACTTGAAATCACTAACTAATCAATCTCTTTTCTATTTTGGCTTTCTAAATAATACAGCCCATTATTTATACAGCACCTTTTTAGCCTTTTACTGTACAGCACACAGACTATAGAAACTTATAGAAATTTATGAGAACTAGATTATGAGAGGTGCACTTCTTGTGTTAAACACTCTTGACTCTGGAAGCAGGTATTTTCTCTATACAGCAGATTTGATAATATGCTAATTAAGATATTGATTTAAAATACACTTGTGAGAGAGGCTGTCCCCCCTCCCTTCTAGTTGTTCCCTTGGAAAAAAAAAACCATGTTCCTGTGACATCCAGTTCAATTCTTGTTCCAAGGGTACAAGAAAACACCTCTAATAAAAGCAGCAGACACATTATTATTTACAGGGATTATTTGGCCACCATTTAGTAGAAAATGTTAAATATTTCTCTTAATCCCTTTTTACACAGAATAATGTTTTTATGGGTTAGATTTAATAGCATCTGTGATTCTAGGGACCGAGTGTAATATCATCCTCCCCTACTAGAGACTGGTTTTTGTGGGGGAGGAATCAACTGACTTAATTGGTTATATTACACCATATACCAGTCTTGGCACCTTAATCTAACAATGCTTTTCATAGTTAAACCATTTGGCTTGATCAAATGAGAAGACATGCTTTCTGTAAGGAGCCTTCTCTTGTGAAATAATCAGGGATCACTTGGGCTGGGTCTAATAAAGATGGGATTTATATCCCTATCTTAGATACTATTATATGCACTGCTGGATTTTTCCAGGATTCAAATTTCATTGATCTCTGGTTGTAGTATTTTGGGAAGGGGAAGGGGAAAATTGTTTCTCCTTTTTCACTTTATTCACACCACGTATAGTTTTCTACACCTCTGTCGTGTCCCCTTTCATTTGCCTTCTTTCTGGATTAAAAATCTCCCAAACATTCTGTCTTTTCTTCATAAAGGCTCCTGTCCCTTGATGATCTTAGTTGCCCTCCTCTGAACCTTCTCCAGCTCCACTGTATCCTTTTTGAGGTGTGGCAATTAAAAACGCACACAATATTCCAGATACTGTCACACAATTTATAGTCTTTATATAAATTGTGACAATATCTGGAATATTATATATCAATCTAACATGCTATTGCCCTTTTTTTTACAGCAGAGGCATAGTGTTGATATGTTCATTGAACTGTTTACCATTAACTCAAGATCTCTTTCATTACCAATGCTAGCCATGATCCATGTATACAAATTTTGTTGTCTTCTATATGTGGTTGAACTATTTTCTTCAACATCTATTATTCCCTCAAGGTGCTTCCTCAGCACCACTTACTGGTGCTCTTCTGGAAGACCAAGAAGTGTGTGGGATGAACCTCACCCCCAGGAGGATAATAGGGTGGGGGCCAGCAGAAAAGATGCTTCCTTGTTGCTTCTTCAAGAAATAGCTCAGGTCATCTAGCTGGGGAAATGGCTTCTCTACATTATGAGTAACCATGCATTTAGATCAGACTTCTAAGTTTGCAGGTCAACTTATGGAAACTAATTTGAAGTAAGCACAAGACAATTTCCTTCCACTATAGGATGCCTGCTGAAAAACTGGGAATTTATCATGTAGACCAGAAGAGAATTCTAGACAAAGTGGACATCCACCTCCAAGTTATTATGATGCTATACTAGCAGATACCACTTTTCCAATAGAAAATTCCCAAAGCACAAAATCTGTAGATATGCTGAAGGTCTTTTTCCTTAATCATGCCACAGAATGAATACATTAACATTGTCCCATAGAACATCACAAAATGATCCAAACTCCTCACCAACAAATCATACAGGTAGTTCTTGACTTACAAGTTTGCTTAGTGACTGTTCAAAGTTACGACTGTTTTTCACACTTCTGATCCCCCATGGTCACGTAATGCTTCACAACTGACTCACATTTATGACAGTTGCAATGTTCCAGGATCATGTGATTACCTTTTGCAACCCTCTCTCAAGCAAAGTCAATAGGGAAACCTGATTCACTTAACAACTATGTTACTAACTTAACAACTGCACTGATTCACTTAAACAAATCATAAAGTGGGGCAACATTCACTTAACAAATGTCATACATTTTGGGCTAAATTGTGGTCGAAAGTAGAGAATTACCTGTGGATTTGTAAAAATCAAACATGAACGTATCTCAGTTTCTCTTGTTGAAAAGAAACATTTACTTGATTGTTGTAGTTAGGTTGTTTTGGTTTTCCGATTTGATTCTTCCCTCTTTCCTCTAGGCTTGACAAACAACAAACTCCTTTGAAACAAGTGTTGCTGCTGGTTGAGCTGCTCAAGTGCTGATTCAGAAACAAGGTGCCCATTCAGGTCAGTAAGGTTGGTCCAAGCAGGTAATACATACTTTCCTGAACTTGCAGCATAGAAAGCAGTCAGATAGCCTTCAAACAATTCCTGATCAGTGCAGGGCTGCAAAGTGTGTGTTAGCATACCTGCCAAAAGTGTGAAAGTCAAGGAATGTAAAATACACTGCTCAAAAAAATAAAGGGAACACTTAAACAACACAATGTAACTCCAAGTCAATCACACTTCTGTGAAATCAAACTGTCCACTTAGGTAGCAACACTGATTGACAATCAATTTCACATGCTGTTGTGCAAATGGAATAGACAAAAGGTGGAAAGCATAGGCAGTTAGCAAGACATCCCCAATAAAGGAGTGGTTCTGCAGGTGGTGACCAAAGACCACTTCTCAGTTCCTATGCTTTCTGGCTGATGGTTTGGTCACTTTTGAATGCTGGCAGTGCTGTCACTCTAGTGGTAGCATGACACGGAGTCTACAGCCCACACAAGTGGCTCAGGTAGTGCAGCTCATCCAGGATGGCACATCAATGCGAGCTGGGGCAAGAAGGTTTGCTATGTCTGTCAGCGTAGTGTCCAGAGCATGGAGGCGCTACCAGGAGACAGGCCAGTACATCAGGAGACATGGAGGAGGCCATAGGAGGGAAACAACCCAGCATCAGGACTGCTACCTCCACCTTTGTGCAAGGAGGGACAAGAGGAGCACTGCCAGAGCCTTGCAAAATGACCTCCAGAGGGCCACAAATGTGCATGTGGCTGCTCAAACGGTCAGAAACAGACTCCATGAGGGTGATATGAGGGCCCGACGTCCACAGGTGGGGGTTGTGCTTACAGCCCAACACCGTGCAGGACGTTTGGCATTTGCCAGAGAACATCATGATTGGCAAATTCGCCACTGGCGCCCTGTGCTCTTCACAGATGAAAGCAGGTTCACACTGAGCACATGTGACAGACGTGACAGGGTCTGGAGATGCCGTGGAGAATGTTCTGCTGCCTGCAACATCCTCCAGCATGACCGGTTTGGCAGAGGGTTAGTAATGGTGTGGGGTGGCATTTCTTTAGGGGGCTGCACAGCCCTCCATGTGCTCGCCAGAGGTAGCCTGACTGCCATTAGATACCGAGATGAGATCCTCAGACCCCTTGTGAGACCATATGCTGGTGCCCTGGGTTCCTCCTTATGCAAGACAATGCTAGACCTCATGTGGCTGGAGTGCGTCAGCAGTTCCTGCAAGACGAAGGCATTGATGCTATGGACTCGCCCGCCCATTCCCCAGACCCGAATCCAATTGAGCACATCTGGGACATCATGTCTCGCTCCATCCACCAATGCCACGTTGCACTACGAACTGTCCAGGAGTTGGGAGATGCTTTAGTCCAGGTGTGGGAGGAGATCCCTCAAGAGACCATCCGCCACCTCATCAGGAGCATGCCCAGGCATTGTAGGGAGGTCATACAGGCACGTGGAGACCACACACACTACTGAGCCTCATTTTGACTTGTTTTAAGGGCATTACATCAAAGTTGGATCAGCCTATAGTGTTTTTTTCCACTTTAATTTTGAGTGTAACTCCAAATCCAGACCTCCATGGGTTGCTAAATTTGATTTCCATTGATAATTTTTGTGTGATTTTGTTGTCAGCACATTCAGCTATGTAATAAACAACGTATTTAATAAGAATATTTCATTCATTCAGATCTTGGATGTCTTATTTTTGTGTTCCCTTTATTTTTTTGAGAAGTGTATATTTTGTCCGGGACAAACTGAGAATATGCCAAATAAACTATATCTCAAAATTGATATTAGTCCTAACAAATACAGAATTCTAGAAAAGTGAATCCTAGCTTCGTTTCACTTTGTATTTTAAAGTGGTGTAGGAAATCAAATATACACAATCCCATATAATTAGCACATACTGTTTTGTAGATGCATGGTATAACTTTCACAATTATTTTTAATAGGCATGTATGCACTTTAGATAATGTACTGGTAATGTACTGCAACTATGCCCAATACTAATTCTTTCTTTCTTTTTTTGAAGACACAACTCTTAAGAATTCACACTGAGAAAAGGCCCTTCAAAGATCTGGGGAATCTTTCCTGAAGAAAAGTACATAGGTATCATAAAATTATCTCCATGGGTTTTTTTAAAATCCCTCTCTTTTCTGTCAGCTTGTGCCTATGTGGTCATGCACTTCATAAGTCAAGATTGTCAAATGAGACTCAGCAGCCAAGTTCTCTGAAAAGCTAATACCCAACTTCAAAACAAATTATAACAGTACGTCAGGAATTACACTCCTTCTAAGCATAGGTGGAAGAAACTGTCTTCAAGCTGTTCCATTTTAATATGTCCCCTCTCTTGGAAAAGTAGTCCCAGATGGCTATCATGCAACTGTTCTCCTCACTGTAACTTTGCCAAAGCTAAGGATAAATAAGACGTACCAGGTAAAACAGGATTCCATTTTCCTGTCCCCTTCTTGCTGTGCAATCTCATCCTTCTTTTGCAGCTCTATCAAGATGTGTCACCCCTTTCCAGCATTCCTAATGGTTTCCATCATTCTCATGCGGCCAGGCACCTTTGCTCATGAGTTTCCCATTCAGAGTCAACATCATCACGATCAATATTGGTACCAGACAACAGTAGATCAAATCCCAGTGATCAGTGAGTTTCTTCTGTTCTGGGGAAGGGGAGGGTTGAGTATCCAAGTAAAAGGTATTAACATCAGCCTTCATTTTGGAAATTTAGGGTCTACTGTCTTTTTCCCAAGTTATCTAATTGGATAATAGTTTGTGTATTTTCTGTTAACATCACTGTTTGAGTACCAATTGTTTTTATGCACAAATAGAATTACTGTATACTTCAGTTCTTAAAGTGTGGAGGTGAGAGTCTTCCAAATAGTCATAGTGCGCCCCTAAGCATCCCAGGACAATTCCACCCAAATGACAGCAAAATTGGCAATGCAAATAATTTCAAGTAACTACCATCCAGATGCATTCCAATTTGCTTGCAGTTTTGTCACATAACAGGTAAAGTACTGGGTACATGTGCATGTGTAGAAGCTGACCTCAGATTAGAACCTTCACTCTTCTGTGCTAGAGAAAAAAAAGGCACAGCAGACAAAAATCCTCAGTGCTGCTTCCTCCCCCCATCTTCCCTTTCATCTGCTCCCAACCACAGGTGGAGGCACCTGCAAAGTGATTGCTGTCAAACGCTGCTGCAACCGCAACCATATTGAAGAACGGTCCCAAACTATCCAATGCTCCTGTCTCCAAGGCAAAGTGGCTGGCACAACCCGTGGCAAACCTTCTTGTGTGGATAGTAAGTACTAGGAGTCAAGATCTTTCTTTCTCCTAACCCCAAGTGGCAGGAAAATCCAAGGGGATATAAGGACCAAAAATCTAAGCAATAAGAATTCTGGGAAGAGATTGAAACATGGATCCAAACTAAAGAGGAAAACAACCCACCAAATGTGCTTAAATAGATATGGATGAGGATGAGGATGGCTTAGCATATAGACTGAAGAAAAGATGAAGAGCTTGATAGTTGTAGCCTCTTTTATTAGGGGACTGTATGTGTGTTTTATATAATGGCTCTTTCAGGGCAGATGTAAGTAGTGGTTACAGTGGTCTTAAAGTCCTCAAATTGTACTTATTATGCTAAGACTTCCATGATTCAAGCAAGGCAGAGATAAGTCGGTTAGTTAGCATGGAATTCAGGAAGTCCCATTTGTCCCTGGTCTATAACCTCTCGATGCCAAGAGGCCCGAATAGACTAGAGGCATTCCATCTTGACCACAAAACCTATTGAAATGCCATATCTGCAGTGAACAAGTTACCAATGTCAGTAAAGATCATGGCTTTAAGGAGGGATGGTAACAAGTGTCTCCCTCTATTCTATAGCCTCCATTGTGACAGGAAAGTGGTGGTGTGATATGCAGCCCTGCCAGGCTGAAGAGGAATGCAAAGCATTACCTGACAACTCAGGCTGGATGTGCTCCTTAGGAAACCGTGTTAAAACCACCAAGGTAAGGCCTCTCACAACCCTGACAAAAGTCACGTCTGTACAGGATGCCACTTCTTTTCCTGTATCTCAAATGTGTATCTAGTCTTAAGGAATGTGAAGGTTTTGTTTCTTTCTTTTTAAGCCCATTGTACAAATAGTGGAGGAGATTTGATTTCCATTTAACAATTAATCATGGCTTGTTTTTCAGATCCATCCCAGGAAATAAAAGTCTGTTATAATGGAAAACCCATCTCTGAAGAGGGCATGACAGAATTTCAAGTAGTGGAATTATCATCAACTTCATGATGAATACTAGTGGGTATGCAAACTTTTTGTCCACTGGGGAGGACAAAAACATCATATTGCTGGATGCACTGTGACTTTGCAGAAGACAATGCTGCTTTTTGTTAAAGGAAATGGAATCAAAGACCTTTCATTAACAGAAGGAAGATTTAGCCCTATTTGGGGGGTGGGGGGAACAGTAGAGCAAGTTGGTTCAAATGATTCTAAACTTTCTTGTGAAACACTGCTGAGACATTTCCTATATAACTATCATTTTTGTCAAACGGATAATTAAATTCTCCAAAACAGATGCAAAAAAGCCAGTTTTGTATTTACATCTGTAATATAATACAGAGTATTTCTTTACAATGATATTGAAATACAATTGCCCCACCATTAGGCGATCTTCAAGCTGGAGAAAATGGACTACTAGGTCTTTAAAATTTTAATCCTATCTTAATAGGCCATTTGAATTCTGAATTGAGGTCCTTAGCCCAAAAGGCCAAGTATATAAAACTGGAACTAAAATTATATTGCCGGATTAGAGGTGGCTTGGCTTAGATGGGCAGGGGGCGGAGGGGTAATGTCAATTTAGATCCCAAAAGAGCTTTGGGTTGTTTAGTATCTATAACTAAAGCACTGTTTCAATATACTGGATGTTTTTTTATGCAACTAAGAGACTGAAGCACACTCTCTGTTCTGCCAGTCTGTCTTAGTTAGTTTTTCTAAAGATGGAACTGACACAGCATTTTACTGGAATAAAACTTAGTTCTAAGAGAGGCCTATCCAGCTTTTTAAGGTGAGTCAAGGCCACAAACCCTGTTTTGATCCACCATTATTCCCTCTTTTTTAAAAAAAACCTAAGCAACCAGCAACAACAGTACTATCAAGTGAAGGAAAAGGGTGAGGATTCAGGGTAGCAGCATCTCTTATTCTGGCTCAATAACATAGAGGCACCTGACCTACAAAGAAGAGACCTATCACAGGAGATCATCATTGGTAGAGTGGCAGGGCTTCCCCTTGTTATAATAACTCTTTCATCCAAGGCTTGGGAAAACACATTATTTGTTTACAGACTTTAAAAATATAACTTAAGAGGAGTTTCCACCAAACAGAGAAAATTGGAGGAGTCCTTCCATCAGAAAGTCAGGAAAACAGCCCTTCAAAATTTGCCATAGTCGATTAATTGTAATTGCACACCCCAGTTTTTTTCAGGTAAATATCATACTAGGATTCCAAGTTCTCCTAATAAGCTTTGGTTCCATCATTGTATGCAATTAATCTTGGGGCACCTCATTTCATAACTGCAAGATTCTTTAACTCCTCATAGAGGTAGATATTATACAGCTCAAACCCCCAACCACGTTTTCCTTGCCCCTCCCCTCTGCCAAACCTAAAAGGTAACTCTAAGAACCAAATCTCTTCCATGCTTTGTTTGCACTCTTGGATGAATGTCTTAGTTTCAAGGGGAAAAATCTTGCTCGATTCTAAAAATAGAAGTGATTCAGGCCCCACATTGGCTCACTGATATTGTCCATAGCCTGTATATCCTGTAGGTGGTGAACCATCTTTGGGAGGCAGTTGACTGGGGTCTTCTCCAAAGGGATTGGCTAAGAAGAAAAGAAGGACCCATTAGTGATACATGAAAACATAAGGTTACTATTATTCATGATAGGAATTAGCAGGGGAAAGCTTTCTGAAGCAGAAGTAACAACGGTGAAGCTAGGAGGAAAGAAGGTTGGGGTTGAAGGGAGAAGTGATTCATTAAATGAAGTGAAAAATCTCAACTTTCACTATTAGAAAATTCAAAGGAGGTTGAAATGTCAATCAGTAAATAAAGAAGAGGAAGGTGCCAGACAGCATGGGAAGAAGTGTAACCCTGGAACACATTTATAGAACCATTAGCAAAAATTGTGTTAAAATACAGGAGATGGGGGGGAGACAGGAATGTGCCATGCTTCCTCCCTATAGATGCACCAAGATCTGAGATAAGAATAGGGAGAGGTATGGCAATCAGGAAGAGACATTTCTTGCACTCTGGGTAACTGCAAAGAAACATCAGATTAGTAAAGCCAAAATCTCTTTCACCACAAAGTGGAACTGGCTTCACACCGCTTCCCCCAGCTCTAGTGCCAATTGGTTCTTAATATTCTCACTAAATTTTATCATTACAAGGTAATAGACAAAGGCAGGTGCATTAACATCTGGATCTTTGGATTTTGAATGACATCTTTCACTATTAATAATGTTAGCTGAGACTACTGGGAATTTATTTTTCACATTTATATAGCCACCCATTTCACTAATCAAGTGACTCTAGGAGGCATGAAAAAGTGTTTGAAAGGCTGCAGGTCCTCTACACATAAGCAATAGTATAAAAAAGTATAAAAAATAGTAGTATGAAAAAGTATTCCAAACATATTTCCCAGGATGTAATGGAGACTTCTAACCCTCCAGATATTATTACATTTCAATTCCAGCATTCCTGGAATCAAGGCCAACAATGAAAAGGACTTTTTTCTTGTAACTACATTTGGAGGTCTACACATTCCCCCAAATCCCCCCCCCTTCTGGGACCTTTTATTCTCAGAAATATAACTTACGGTTTTGGAACTGCTGGGCTGTATATCTTGTCAACAAAATTCCAACACCTTCTATCAAGGCAAGCAAGATGCCTCCCATCATAGCAGATCCTACCATGGCCAACGGCCCACCTAAATGAAAAAGCAGTTAGTAAGCCCCAAGGAAGCAATTATTAGAAAGTGATGATAAATGGGTGATGTGTATTTGGCAGAGCTAAGAAACATCACTTACTGCGCGATGCTAATACAGCCCCCGTGAGGGCCCCACTGGTAATGGAATTCCAAGGATCTTCTTTGCCTCGCATCTTCACCAGACCACAGTCAATGGTAGAAAAAAGCCCACCCCACACTGCAAAGCTCCCTGGGAAGAGAAAGAGAAAAGGCCTTTGGAGTCACCAGTTGAATGCTGAATTGTTCATAACTTGCATCAAAAAAGCCCTTTGCCTGATACTAAGCAACTTTATTATAGATACTGGTTGGGTGCACATGAGAATTGGATCAAAATACCCCAGAGTCTTAGAAGTCATTGCCAAAGATACTCAGAGTGTCTCAAAAAGGGGCAGCAATTCACAGATACTGCCTCCCGAGCAACTGATTTTCAAATTTATCACCCAAACCTTGAAAGACCAAAACAACTTTACTTTTTTTAAAGTATTTGCAATCTCAAATCTTGTGTCAATTTCTTGAAAATAGAAGTATATGAATAAACACATAGGAAAGCATAAGAAAATGCAAATGATTTGATTTTTTGTTTTCATTGGTATTTTTAAACATGTGATCTCATTCTATAAATTGTTACACAGGTATAGGATTCATGATAGCTTACTAGAAGTAAATAGATCTCATAGCAGCTTACTGCAAGTAATGGTCTCATAGATGCAAGTAATCAAGTCATGTGATTGTAATTTGGGTGCTTGGCAGCCAGTTTGCATTTATGACTAATTACAGCAACCTGCAGTCACATGATCATCATCTGCAACCCCTTTTTACTGATTTCCAGCAAAAAAAAACCAGCACAAAGCGCCCACTGGAGAACCTGGATTTGTTTAACAATCTTGTGATTCATTTAACCATCACAGTAATTCACCAATAACCACTATAAACATTGTTGCAAAATAGGATCCAACTTGACTTACAACCACAACTTATGACAGAAATTCCAGTCCTAATTGTGGCAGTTAGTGGAGGACTACCTATAATATGAACTTAAAAAATTAGTATTAGGGGTAATCCTTAAGGTAAAATGGAAACTGGGACCAAGATTGCTATTGCTAAATGATGTGGGTGTAAAGCATGTCATGTGACCACATCACTTAGCAATGGCAATCCAGGCCAATCCCAGTTGTCATCATAACCACAAGGCACATGGGCCATTATGTCAGAAGTTAAGGGAATCCCAGGTAAGAAACATGGACTGGCACAGTGGAGTGGGCTGCCCTAGGAGGCTTGGCACAGACTATGAGTGAATGGTGTGTGTGTGTGTGTCTTCCAGTGCAGCATAAGCTTACAAAGGCTAAGGAAAGAGGGTGTAAGGTATGTGCATGTGTGTGAGCACATGGAGGCCAGGGAAGGAGAGAAGTACAAGCAAACGGAGGGCATGGTGGTTTGGGGGACGGGGGGACGGGGGGGGGGGGAAGACACTTACTTGTGACCTTCCCTGTCAGGTTCCCTATTGACTTTGTTTATAGGAAGCTGACAGAGAAGGTCAACAACAGTGACCATATGACTGCAGGATGCAGCAACCCGTCATAAAATGTGAGATGGTTGCCAAGCACATGAATTTTATTGCAATAGCTGGAACTTCAAGGACTTCAAGTATATTCTTCGTCCAGTCTCATCGTAATGTCAAACAGTTGCTGAATTAATCCTAACATGAGGTCTATCTTTACTTACTTTACTCAAATATTTATAGGACTGCAAAGTTCAAGAAGGGAAAAACCCACCTTCCCCAATTTGATGCCTACCAGATATGCTGGACTTCCATGTCCAATATATCAAGCTAGTGTGGCTATACTAGAAATTACACAAACTGGTCTAACACAACTGAAGGCCACCAAGCTGGTGAAGATTTCAGCAAGTAAACATTTCTCAATTAATTCCCACTTTCCATTGCTTGGAGTGTTTTTTTTTTTTAAAAAAATATAGCAGGATTGGGAAACAACTCCAACCAAGTACTCCACTTTCTTCAGAATAATATAAGTTATACAGGAGTTCAAACATTCTGGGCTAAGTGAAGTCACCCATTCTCTGCCTGGCATCCTCTCTTTTCTCTGTCTTTTGCCACCTTCTTCTAAGTTTTCCTCATCATAGGCTGGGACAGACAATTCTTACATGATGGCTTGCTGAGAGTTCTGAAACCAGGGTAAGGGCTGTAGGATACCCCCGCCATCGGATTACCCAATTCCAAAATGCAAGGTCCATGCCTGAGATGTTTAATTTGTCTTCATCTGAACCATCAAAAAATACTTTGTCTGTAGACCAGAAGACTACAAAGCTCTTTATGCTGCAGAATATTCACTTGCAGAAATGGATAAACCATTTCTCTCAAATTCTTAGATCAGTTTGTTATGAAGAAGCATCAGAACATTCTGGAAAGAGACTACACAATTTTGCATATCCCAGTCCCAAATTGTATATTCTTCACTTTTTTCCAGACACCTAAATCCTTATAACAAAAAAAATGAGTAAGTCAAGCTGAAACAGACTGATCCAAAGTCACTCCTCTGCTTGTCAGACAGTGTCAGAACTTGATTCTGGTTCGCCCTGATCTTTTGCAAGCCCAGCATGGTAGGGGGAGAGGGGAAAGAGCAGGGGCATGTGAATGGCAGGCACTGCCATTTGCATGAATGGAGCTTCGCCCACAAGTGCAAGCATCTGCCACTCATATGAGTGGAGCTTCATGCACGCACCTGTCTGCCATTCATCAGAGTGAAGCTTCATGCACATGCACTTGCCCATCTCTACCATGGCCTAGTTTTGAACAGGCTGCAACGCGGTAGTGGGCTGCAGTTTGGGGGTTGGGGACCCCTGTCTTAGGACACTCATTCCCCCTGCCAAACCCTTTATCTTACCTCCAATCTGTGGTGCTCTGACTCTGATAGCATTGATGCTGCCTCTGAATCGATGCCTGACACCCTGAATTTTTTTAAAAAAAGAAACAGAAATCCTTTTGATTAATCAACTCCATACTTAAAAGAGGACTCATAATTCAAGCAACGCACACAGTACTTACATTTTAGGATTCATTTTAGGATTTTGCAAAGAAAAATGAATAAATATGTGAACTTCTCTCATTAGAGTCATTGTTTTAAGGCTAGAATCTTTCAGAGATATTGAATACAAATGCCCATCATCCCTAAAAGTCAGGCATCCTTTGTCAGAATTGCAATACCAACCCACTAGAGCACGGGTGTCAAACTCGCCATGTCATGTTGCCATCACGTGACGTGTCACGGTATTTTTTTCTTTCACAGAGTTGGGGTGGGCGTGGCCTGTACGTGACGCATCTGGCCGACCGGCCACCAGTTTGACACTCCTGCCCTAGAGGGTATCAAGCTGAGGGGAATAATACTATATTTATGAAACAGGTTTACCAATAATCAAATAACAATTGAAAGTAAGAACGAACTGTTTGGATGATCACAGAAATTCCATGCTCAATCAATAATAAGTAACAAGATTGCAGAGCAGTAAGGGTGCATGGATGCAAACAATAACCATATTTTCATATTGTTAAATCATAAAGCAAAATACTATACATTAAATCCCAGCACTGCCTCTACATTTATTACAGCAAATGTCACTGAAACAAGAATTTTGACCCAACACTATTTCCTCATTGCTTGCTGCTTAAAGGGAGCAAAAAATAATACAATCAAATGAAATAAAGACTAAAAATAAAATATGTAGAACTCACCACTGGAGCATTGCGAAAGCCTTTGATTGCCTGAAAGACACCCCCGCCAATCATTCCCATAGTAAAGGCACCACCACAGTCATCCACAATCCTCCAGGGGCTGTCAGATAGAAACAAGTCAGTCAGTGTAGGCTCTTCACTTAGGAAGCTCTGTTATGGTAAGAATTTATGCTTAATACTAAAAGTATTTAAATTTAATTTTTCTGAAGTATTATATTACCTCAATATTATACTGCTATGTATTACCGATGTTTTAATATAACAAATGAAAACCATCGGGACTGGCAGCCTATAAGTGAGCTCCTTTTCACACACAAATACACAAACAAGTAATCAACAATTTACCAGCCTAAGTATAGACACATACACCAGCTTGGGGAAAAGTGTAAAATAGTTGCAACAGAATATTGCCTGCATAAAAACACAAATGCTAGTGTATTGAGCTGCTGCCAATACAGTACTAGTTCCCTCTCAAAAACCTCACTGCCTTGACAACCAATTCATGTGAATTTTCTGCTTTTATTTCTATTTACAAATGTCCATGCATCACATTTCATTTCAAATGTATTAAAATACATTTTTACTGATTTGCTTGCATGAAATGCTTGCAAATATAATTCCTAAAACAAAACTATTACAGATAACTCAAAAGCATAAGGGTTGCAGAAATTACATGAGGCTGAAAGCACTCTACACATGCTAATGTTACAGATATTGACCCACACAAGGGTTTCCTAAACATTCCAGTACATGTTGAAATGCCGCCACAAACATGAAACGTCCCTCTGAATAAAAGACAACTGGGTTAACACCACCACCAACTACAGGGAGTCCTCGCCTTACGATCACAACTGAGCCCAAAATTCCTGTTGTTGAGTGAGGCATTTGTTAAGTGAGTGTTGCCCCAATTTACTATCGTTCTTGCCACAGTTCCTAAGCGAATCACTGCAACCGTTAAGTTAGTAACACGGTTGTTAAGTGAATCTGGCTTCCCCACTGACCTTGGCTTGTCAGAAGCTTGTCAAAAGGTGATCACATGATTCAGGGATCAAATATGAGCCAGTTGCCAAGCAGCTGAATTTTGATCACGTGACCATGGGGATGCCCCAATAGTCATAAAGTGTGAAACACCGGCCTAAGTCACTTTTTTTCACTGCGATTGTATCTTCAAATGAACTGCTGCAAATCGAGGACTACTTGTACAATTATAAACACCATATCCGTTTAACCTGCCAGTTCCCAATTGACTGATTACACGGACATGAGGGCTAATAAGCAAAAAGGGAAGATGCTTAAGTACCAACAGCTACCCCAGAGCATACCCCACACCAGAAGGCAGCAGGCAAAGTACATTTCTTAAGCCAGCAGGCAGAGAGATGGACACAGAGCAAGGAAACCCGAGTCCCGCCTGTTTCATAACATTCCCGGGGTGACCTTGGAGCTATTCCCCTTCTTTCATCCTGGCCAAGAGTTCGGCTTCTAAAGTGAAAAGCCGCCTCGTTTCTTTGTGACTCTCACGCAATGCTGCCCTTGCCGCTTTTGTAGCCGGGAGGGAAGCAAGAAAGAGGGAAGGAAAAGCATTCCAAGGATATAACTAGAGATAAAGCCTTAAGTGCCATTGCTCTAAAAGCCAAGGCGGCCCCCAGCGCAGCTCCAATCTCTCTCAGGGCTTTGGACGGCGGGTTCAAGAATTCCTTCTCAGGAATTCGACCCCGCACCGAGATGGAGGCCGGTTCGTTTTCTCCGCTGACCTTGAGCTACCTCGCAGGGCTGTTGGGATGGGATACAAAAGGGGACGGGACAGGCCCTCCCTCCCTCCCTCCCTCCCGTGCAGAGGGAAAGGAGCAGCCGACGGAGACGGAAGGAGGGGGCGAACTAAAAAGAAGGAGCCGGCTACGGCGGGCTGGGAGGGGGCTCCCCAAAGTTCCCCGCGGGCCTCGAAGGAAGCTGAAGCCGGCCCAGCGCAGGACGCCCGCTCGTCTAACGAAGCCGGCCCGAAGGCAGGCCAGCGCCCAGCCCCTCCGTCCACCCAACCGCCTCGGTTACCAAGGTTCCCGGGCATATTCCTCCATAGCTCCCGGCCTTGAAGCTCGCTAGCCCACGCGAAAAAGGAAGAAGCCTCCGGGGGAGTCACGTGACCAGCGCCTATTGGCCGGCAGGTGCACGTGGCAGGAGTGGAAGCCACTCGCGCTTCGGAAAGTAACCGACGGTTAGCCTACGTCGCTCGCTGGTTGGTTTCCCCAGGAGTGGAAAGCAAACGGAGGGGGCGTGGTTTTCAAACGCTCGTCTTGACAACTGAGGAACAAACAAGAGGGGGAGGAGTTACAACACAGATTGGAACTGTCGCGCGCGTGTGGGGTGCCGCCCATGTAACTGTAGTTTCCCTCCTTTGGCCGATCAAGATACGAAGGGCGGGGGTGAGGTGGGGTCGAAGGATGCGATCAAGATCTGTATTTCGTCACTACCGGAGGAGGAGGAAACTAGCTCTGATAGGCTTAAAGAAGGCGCCGAAGAGGAGGGACCTAATTGAGACTTCTTACCCGGGGATTGGACAGTTGGTTTTCACGTAGCGATGACGTTTTACCAGGCGAGGGGATTGGGAAAAGCGTAGCGGGAGGAGGGAGGTTCTGTTGGGCCGCGGATTGGTGGAAGTGTGTCACGTGCAGGTGGCTCCTGGAGCCGCAGGAGCGGCTTCGAATCCGGTAACGGGAAGGGGCTGTTTGCGAGGTGAAGGGGTTTTCCTTGAGCGCGCGGGCGGCCGCGTGACCCTCTGGGGCGGATAAGGAGGTGAGGCTGAGGGGTGTCAATTGAGACTGTTTGCGAGACTTATCGTGAGCCTGAGCCGAGAGGGCTTTCAAGGATCACTTCTGACACAGAAACGACGATCAACAGAGCTGCGTTGGGCAAAGGTCCTGACCTCTTAGAATTTTCAGAGTGGGATAAAATACGTTAAACACGGAAAGAACTCTCGTATTTGTCCTCTTCGTTTGTATTCGGGCAGAATATAACTTTTTTTTTAAAAAAAAATCACGGTTAGAGTATGAATATGATCATTTTACAGGTAGTCCCCGACTTATGACCACAATTGAGCCCCAAATTTCTGTTGTGGAGACATTTGTTAAGTGAATTTGGCCCCATTTTTTTCCTCTCTTGCCTCGGTTGTTAAGTGAATCGCCGCAGTTGATTAAGTTGGTAACCCGGTTGTTAAGTGAATCGGGCTTTCCCCATTGACTTTGCTCGTCAGAAGGTCGCAAAAGGGGATCACGTGACCTTGGGACATAGCGTCAGTCATCAGTAGGAATCAGTTGCCAAGCAGCTGAAGTTTTGATCACATGATCATGGGGATGCTGGAAAGGTAAAGGTGAAAAAACGGTCATAAGTCACTTTTTTTCAGTGCCGTTGTATCTTTGGTCACTAAGTCAACTGTTGTAAGTCGAGGACTACCTGTCTATGGAAAACTGAACCAGTTAGATCAGAGCTGTTCTTCCGCAATGAGTATTTTGCTTGAACAGTCCTGGATATTGCAACATTATGTAGTCTGACCTGGTGTGGCAGCAAATTCATCAGCTTGGTAAGAATTGGATCAGAACATTCCCAAGGTACAGGCTAAACTTGCAAGATTCTGTTGCAATACCCAAGATCAATGAAATAATTTTAGCCTTCTTATGGAGTTGATTTCCTAGTCCAATCATCTAGTGGGGCTATTACTAAAGCTATCCATTTTACATCATTCCAAATTATGATTTAAGTTGGTGAAAGGGAATCAAGTACATATTTAAAGATTGTACTGGATTCCTAAGGAAATTATTATTTATTGGATTTATATTGCCGCCTATTCGCCCATGGTGACTCAAGGCGGCTTACAAATGCATGTAGACAGGAAAAAAGAAAAAAAGGTATAAATCGCCCAAAGTGGTGCCCTGATGGATTATATCCACCATCTGTCTTAAACGTTGAATCCCACATAGTCCGGAAAATACTATTAAAGAATTCTGGTATGAAAATTTATGGAGTAGTGTGCATGTTCTGGAAAGAGTAATGATAAGCACTAAATGTAATGTCTGACATTTCTCTGTCTGCTCAAATATAGAAAAGTGATTGGAAAAGGAACATTTGCACATCTGCTCCACTTTGATGCCTCTGCCTGTGGCATTGCAGTCCCGCCTAGCCAGGCGAGGCCTGCTGAAGCATGTAGAACCTGGTAAGTACAGGGGGGAAAAATAGGAGGAAGATAACTTGGATGGGCTGTCTACAAGCCAAGGATGACCTACAGGGATAGCTCCCAGGAACTAGAGCTGGTTAGTTCCCAAGGCATTATTTTGGCTCTCTAAAATTGGTATCCATTCTGGATTGTGCAATTTTGCCACCTGTTGACCCCATGTTTTTTTTTTCAAGCCTGATCTTGTTTCTTTCCATATAAGAACCAGAAGAGGAAATAATTGCAGAAGATTATGACGATGATCATGTTGACTATGAAGCCACAAGAATGGAGAACCTGCCACCAAACTGGTACAAAGTCATTGACCCTGTTTGGTAAGCATATAGTGAGTGCTCAGTATGCCGTGCAAATGATTTCTATCAAGAGTGTTTTTTGTCTGTGGTCGCAAGATTGGTACCACTATTTATCAGTACCCAATCAGGGAGATGTTTCTGGTTCTGTTAGCTGATCTCTGAAACATGAAGGAGGAAAGATGTAATGTGGCTAGAAGGCTACTTTGTGCTGTCTAGCCATCGCTGAGTGGGCAAAGTTTTTATTATTTTTCATATCTCTGGTCCAGCAGAATATTATTACTATGACATATATTTTTCCAAGTCTGGAGACTTGGGGTACATACAGTATTAATACAGTATAATAGGATTTAAAAGCAAAAAATCAATTAATACAATATGGAAGTAGCTAGATGCCTTTCTGAAAAGTTATGCTTTTATGTTCTCTGAAGAACACTGGGAAAAGAAGGTCCAATCCATATTACTGAGTAAGCTGTTATGTTTACACGATAGATGGTGTTTGTTAGGTTGGGAGGGGAAACCTGTGTCTGAAAATTTTGATTATGTTACCTAGATTGGAATCAGAATATTATACCAACCTGTGAATTGTGTTAACCATGTTGATGATGTTGATGTGTCATGAAGTTGATGTTGACTCTTAGTGATCACATAAATAAGTTTTCTCTAGCATAATCTTGATCCTTCCTGAATGAAGGGTGAATGATGCACCCATTACTGCTGTAACTGAGTCTGTTCAGCTTGCTGCTGATCATTTTCTGTTTCCTCGCACCTTTCTCAACATTGTAGACTTTTCAAGAGTGCTTGGTCTTTGCATAAGGTGTCCAAAATATGGTCATTCATGCCATAAGTGAAAACTCTGAATTGATATGTTACTTGATCCATATGTTTGTTTTCTTAACTAAGCCAGGTACCGTATATCAAACTTGATTTCATTGAGGGGTGCATCAGGGTTGTGTTTGACCTTGAGTGAGCATGGCCAGGGTGGGCGTGGCCAGCTCAACATCACTCGTGTTGCTCGCCTGTGGTGGCCTGAGCACTCTGTCAGCAAAAATGGGCTCCCAAGCTCCATTTCTGGCTGCAACAGCCGCCTGCAACCCTCTGCCAGCGAAAACAGAGCTGGGGAGGGCCATACATGGCCTTCCCAAACTCCGTTTTCCCTGGCAGAGGCACCAATAGGCCGTCCTTTGCTGTTTCCAAGGCCAAATCTAAGCACCCTGCAGGCCCTTGACACCCCTGATCTAAGCTCTCTATCCTGCTGCTTAAAAGTCTAACCGTTGCTTTCATAGCATGTCACAGGCTATGACACATAGCATTGCCTGTGTCATTTTGATCTTTCTCAGAATCTGAATATCTTCACAACTATTCTACCAAGTGCTAGGCTGCAGCTTATTTCTTGGCTGTCTGTTGCCAGCTAATCCTAAAAGCAACACCCAATTGTAAGCAGGGAATTGTGGGGAAAAACAGTGGGATATCAGTCTAACTAAAATAAATTCAGTTTTCTGAAGTTAAATGCCAGTGATTATTTTACAGAAAGTGTTGAGTATACATTTCAGTGTTTTTGGAGAATGGGGGAATTTTGGGTTTTGATCTATTGCTATTGGCTCTAGAAGTAACAAATATAGTTCTCTTCTGCTCGTAGCTACCTCCCTTATTATTGGAACATAGAAAGTGATCTGGTTTCATGGCTCTCACCTAATGATCCCAACTCTGTGGTGACCAAAGCAGCCAAGAAGTTGAAGAACAACTTAGGTAAAGAATGATTTGTTTTATATAGTGTTTTAGGGGTGTAAGTGTAGATCATAATAGGAAAACTATACATTGATCTGAATAGGGGAATTAATCTTTGGAAGCACAGAAAATTTGATCTGGCTTCTGGTGAGAATGAACGTATGCCTGAGGCTACAAAGTGGGGGTGGATAACCTATGGCCTCTGAACACCCCTTCTGCACTGGCATTTTTATTTTGGTGGTTCTTAAACAAAAATGTACAAAAGTAGTAAGCATATAGAAGTAGTCCTCAGACCACAATTGGAACCAACTCAGTTAAATAAAGTGGTCCCTAAGTGAAACCATGAGTGTTGGTATGATTCCCTCTCTATTTTAAAAGGAAAAAGAAACTCTAGATCTCTTTTGGATTGAAATGGAGTGGTGCATTTCTCCATCACTTTGAGGTGGGAAAGCACTCAACTGTAATATGAGAAGTAAACAAAAACCCAGCTATCTAAAAACTTGAAACATACCAGATTCTCTGACCTCAGTGAATCACAATTTTTATACCCTCCTTCCCTCCCTCGAAACATTGGGTCAAACAGAAGATATGTGCAGTCATGAACAGAGATGATAATGGAAGCATGGAGTTAACAGCAATTTGATTTGGAGTCATTTAACAGATAATACTCAGAGGCTACTTGTGAAAAAAAGATAGCTTCATCTACTCTGTGCCACAGTAACTTGTTGCATCATAGCAAGTAGTCAGTGGGCAATTTTATATGAGAGGGAATAGATCGTTGTACTCACAGTGTTCACCAGCAGTAAAAAGCTATTAAAATTGCCTCAATGACCTTCTCTCCCTTTCTTTCACAAGGAGTCGTGCATGCTGCTGTTTTGATATTTAACTTGTTTTGGAGCTGTTAAGGTGGTGTTGGGTGGCCATTGATTCTGCTGCTTCTGGGCAATTCAGTTTTCAAAAAGATTTCCAAAGCAGGGGGAATCTACTTACAGGTTGTCCTCATTTAGTGACTGCCTTATTTAGCAACAGCGATGAAAAAGTAACTTTATTACCAATACTAGCATTTACAACCTTCAGAGGTTTGTAAAGCAAAGGAAAGCTGAAGTAAGACCATACAGAAAGTCGTGGTTTCGTGTAGCGACCACTTAATCAAGCTGTTGGTTCCAATTGTGGTCTCTAACCAAGGACTACCTACCTATGCTGGACCCCAGTGTCTACTTATCAACATTATTGTTTAAGAATAGCCAAAAGAAAAACGACAGTGCAGAAGAAAAAGGCAAGTGGTAGACTGTCAGGAAACTAAAACTAAAATATTCGTCTCCTTTAGATGCTGAAAGCAAAACGGAACGGTTCCACGATAAGGTGGAGCGGGAAGAGGTGAAGGAACGTCGCTACCACCGGCGGGAAGAACTAGCCCCCTACCCTAAGAGCAAAAAGGGTAAGAGCAGATGCCCTACTACCCTGAGCTCCCAAAGGTGTTTTGGCTAGAGGCATATCCTCTTAGCCCCAAAGTGATTATCAAACTCTGGCATCCCTCTTGTCTGTCTTCTGCAGCAAGCCGAAAGGATGAAGAACTTGATCCTATGGACCCCAGTGCTTACTCAGACGCTCCTCGGTGAGTCTGCTCAATAGAAAGCTCCCCCTACTGCTAAAGCCGAGTATCGTTGCGGAAAAATGGCTAGATTGGCAGATCAGCAGTACTAGGCCCTGGGAGGGGGCAAATGGGTCCAATTTCAGGTTTGTTTGTTTTTTAAAATGTGAATAGCTCCCTGCTGGATCTTAAAGAGCTTTCACTAATCAGAAATAATGATTGGACTATATATTTCATTGCTCGGATTTGATATATTATGGCAGTTTTGTGTGTTCCAGTTGTCTGCTGGAATTATCAGTGAGATGCATTCAGGCATTTTAAATTACCCATTCTATATTTTAGCAGACTTTTCTAACGTCTGTACATAAATTATGTCCAAGCATAACTTGTATGATCTATCGGGACCAGAAACTTGCTTTTTCTATGGAAAGATGGGTTATAAGGAAATGAATTTTCTATCTCTGTAACTACATTCTTTCATTTTCTCAAACTTATACCAATCAGGCGCTCAAAGTCTTGGTGTCTTATGGTGTTCATGGCATTTTAAAGGTCACCAGACACTTCAGGCTGTTTTAAGTGCTGAGAACTACGGTAGGAGAGTGGATGCAGCGGGGTAGGACCAAGGCTAGATGAAGTTAGAAAACAGAGGCAAAGTCATAAGGGCCAGTGACAGAGTCGGAGAGCAGTCATTGATGCCAACTTTGTCTCTCCATCTTTTCTACCTCTCAAGGGGAACCTGGTCCACGGGGCTGCCCAAGCGAAATGAAGCCAAAACTGGTGCAGATACCACAGCCGCCGGCCCACTGTTCCAGCAGCGCCCTTATCCAAGCCCCGGGGCAGTCTTACGTGCGAACGCAGAAGCTTCTCGAGCCAAGCAGCAGGACTGAGATGCTCCTTTTATCCGTGAATGAATTGGAGCATTAAGTTCTGACTCCTTTTTGGACTACAGACTGGACCGGCGGTAGCCTTTCCAAATCTTTACTACAACTCTGGCATGTCAGCGGTAAGAGAGGCTGATTTTTATCGTTCAATGGCTTCCGAAAAGCTGCACGTTCCCAACATCTTTGGGGCTTTCAGGAGGCATTGTTTCCCTGCAGAAGAAGTTTTCCATGTTTAACCTGAGTGACCTCTGCAGGGAACAGTCTCCTCACCAGTCTCCATCTCCTTCTCCCATCCCACTTTGAATTTCTCAAAAAAGAAAAAAGTTGAGAGAAAACCTGCTTCGGTTTTTCCCACGTAACAATTTTGATCAGCTTATAATATTTGTATAGCATAAAAAAAAACGTTTGCAAAGAGGTTTGTAGAGTCTGGCCAGTAAGGACCAGCCAAGGCAAGGAGATGGAAGACAGAATGCTTCTCCTCCCCCAGCTCAGAGTAGCTGTAAGACACGATTCCACTTAAATGATCAGATGACACCTGGGTTTGCTTGCTTTAGAAATCTGTATTATGTTTTTACAAGAATAAATAAAATATACAAAGTTGCCTAGTGAGTATATTTAAAATGTAACACGTTAGTTCCATATAGCTATCTCAACACTGCCTTTATAATGCAATTAATACTTGATAGGATGCTACAGTTCTGCACAAATATATGGCTGGGGATAGGGAGTAAAAAAGAAATACTGCCTCTCCCTTTGCATGAGGGGAGGGAAAGGCTCAGTGCACAAAGAGAAATGGAAATGGAAAGCAAGGAGGAGTCAATATGTTGTCTTCTTTTTAGTCTCCAAAGGCTGGATTTGCCCAGGCCAGACTTTTGCCAGCTCAGCTGCGGAAAGTAATGCAAAGTGAAGCCATGGAATTTAGACTTGGTTAGTCTCTGCTGCAGATTCTCAGGTGGAATAGGAGCAAACTCAAAAGCCTTGGACAAGTTACAGCTCTTCCGATAATGTCTGTCATTCGGAACAGAACGGTGGTTTGGAATCAATCTCAGTTCACCAGAATCAGGGCCAAGCGTGGTTCACACATGATTGTTTTCTTTCTTAAACTCACTCATCCTGCCCCATAGGACCATTCTGTAATTAACGTTAATATCACAAGTTTTTGAACTTACAAAATTTGCTGCTCCACCCCACCTCCCCACCCTGTCCCAGCTGTATTGTAAACAAAACAGAATTGGGGAAGGTGAAAGAAAAAAGCCCAAGTCTGAAGTTGATCCTTAGCGTTGCAAGTGTAACAGACTCCTGGCAGAATTTGGCAAACCCTAGGAACAAACTTTAGAATTCAAATTGCACACCAGGCTACTGAGACAATCAATTAAGGGTATTGCTTCATTAAAAAAAATAATTGGCTCTAATAACTCCTTTACTCTTCTGGAAAGATATAACTGATCATCAAAATCAGGGGTGTCAAACTCGCATCGTCACGTGACGTATCGCGACTTCCCCTTCGCTTAGCTGGACATGGGTGTGGCCAGCGTGTGACGTATCCGGGCTGCGGGATTTCACACCTCTGATCTAAATGAACCATTCATTGCTATTGGAACCCCCAGGGTTCAGCCCTGTGCATGAGACAGATCTTAATCGGAGGCCAGTTTAGCTTGCTAAAGTGCATCAGGCAACCAAAAGGCACATCGGAGAAACTTAGTCCCGTCTTTCCTGTGCGCTCAGTGCCATGAATTGTTCTGCATCTGGTAAGCGCAGGCAGAAGATTTCGTTAATCTAGAAAAGCATCACGGCTGAAATTCTGCTGAAGTCTTCAGTGGCGCTTTTTCTGCTGCTTTAAGAACCTTTTTCTTTAGCTGAGACCCTGAAAAAAAAAAAGCAGAAGAATGGTTGAGCTCAGTCGGGGACAGGACCTGGAGATTGGTCAACCCTTAGAATATTCCATCTACCTCTAAGCAAATTAGTTATACTCACTTTCCCCAATCTGGAAATGGATTCACTAATCTAGAGGGTACAGGGGAAGGGGGATCCCTCGTATTTTTTCTTCCTCTGCAATTTATTCTTTCCCAAAATCAGGAATTTAGAGAAAATAAACTTTATTACTACTCTAGCCTTGGTTACTGAATCCTATGGATTTGAACATGCACTCTACCAATAAACAAGCGTGGATAACTTAGAACAATATCCCTTGGGGTTTTATAAGTCTTTAATTGACTTTCTGAGAAGGCCCTTCACTTTGATAATGGGATTTGATGCTCAAACAAAACCAGAAATAAATAAATAAATTATATATATAATGTGATCATGGTAGGTGGCTCTAAGTTGAGGATCTTACTCTTTCAGAATTGCCATTGTCCAAAACATTGAAAACAGCAAGCTTCTAGCCCTTATGCCGGATAGTTTTAATAGTGGCTGGGTTCACATACTGCAATAAACCATGATAATTTTGATTTACTGTGTTCTCTGAACACAATCATGGTTTGTAAACAATTTATAACTGAATGTATTAATGCAAATTCCATTTTAACTGGTTAAAATATTCTCAGTCTGTTGGGCCTTGCTGTTACCAATTGAAATTTAATCAAATAAGCCCTTTTTCCTAATCCGCAGGTATCAAAAACATTCTGCAACAGACAGCAATAACAACTGTGGAGTCCTTGGTTACTCTGTGAGCCTGGTGGCTTTTTTGGAAGACATTTCATTATCAAATTAAGTAACTTCATCAGTGCCAGGAATAACAAAAAAAAAACATTTCAAGTTTGGATATATTAGAAAATGAATTCTGCCTAGAAAGCAAGAGCCAACTAGGTCACAGGCGTACAACTCCAATGATTTCTTGTTTTTGTTTTTTATATTTGCCTGTTACAGTTTTCCCAAGTTCTTTATACTTACGAGGGCTTCAAAGACATTCAGCTGGGACACTGGGGATAGGAGGGGTATTAGAGGCAAAATAGCAGGCAGAACTGGGCAGATTAAAATCCTGCCCCATCTTAGGTTCACGTAGAGACTGGGGCATGATCATCCAGTTGTGCTCCCATTTTTACACTATTAACACCTTGTGGATATCCCTAGAAAAAGATCTCTTTCATGGCTAATTAAACCATCCACCAGGACTGGAGAGCATGCCATTGGTTTTCTCTCACTTGAGACTTGAATTCAGCTTAACTTCTTTGGTGGTTGTGATAGCTTTGCTAAGTATGGTATCCTTAGACCACATGGCAACCTGCCAGAATGGGTCATCTGTGGCCTTCCAAATAGCAAGGAACTACAACTCCCAGCATCATTGCTAACCAAGCTGGGTGGGAATGTTGGAGTGGTGGTTTGGTAACATTTAGAATACAATATGGGATCAACTCTATTCCTGATAGTACTACATTTGGATCAGGAAAGGCAACATCAAAGCTCTGTTTATTGGAGTGTTGTCCCCTTCTAGCTAGAGCCACCTAAAGTGGTTGGAGTGAAGTGAGCAAAGAATACATCTGAATGCATTCTATGAGAAGATCCAAAATTTAGTAGTTATTCCATTTGTACACTTTATAGATTAGGGGAAATGGCACCTATTTGGCAAAGAGGAATCATGCAGCTTCCATGTCATATAAGCAATGGCATATTTTTAAAAGCACATTATAACAGTTTGCTGTGTTTCAATTACATCCTCAGCCGATTATCCCAACCAATTGGTTTACTCAGATTCCTGGGTTTGCAGGATGCACTGAATTATAAATGAATTGGTCTGTCAGAATTGACACCATTAGCGAGGCTAAAATGGGACATTGTGTTCTTATTTTAACAAGGTTGCTACGACAATGTTGTCACAGTAACTAGGATACTGACCTATTTAGTACTTCCTCCTTTTGCTCCTTGAGCCAGATCTGTAAATATGTACAGCCATAATAAATCATGCCAACAAGCAATGTAGTTTGAGCCAAAAACAAACAAACCCCAAGATGGGGGAATATTATTTTGAATTCTTTTCATGCAACAAACTCCAATTAGAAATTAAACTTAGAAGGAAAAGCCCTGCTTTAGCTGCAGTTTTAGGAAAGAATTAAACATTAAAGCAAGCATTGAAAAATATAGATAGAACTCATTCCAGGCAGTGTAGGATGGCTTCAGATTAAGCATACCATTGAAAAGGACAGGCTCTTTCAAGGACCTCTAGTCTATGACACTATATTTCAGCTGCGGAATCAACACTATGCCCAAACAAACTTTATCTGTATTGTCCTTTTTTCTGCAACTCACAAAACTGGGTGTTCCTGATCACCCTTTTTTTAAAAAAAGAGCAATAATTTTCTCTCATATCTAGCAAAAAATAGTGCCAAAACAGGAGTTATCTCCACAGCAGTTGCCTGTTGTGTGGAGCAAGCAAATATCTCAACTTGCATTTGAAATGGACTCCCAAAGAGAACCCAGACATTGCACTAAGACATAATTGTGGCTTTCTTAGTTGGTTAGCATGTTTGAATCAAATCCATTTCAGTTAATTGATATTTATTAGTTCATTATTAGTTCAACAGTGGCTCAGCATTTTGTGCAAAAACTACATAGGCATTTATTCAATAAACTCATAGTTAAGCGTGATATGTGAACCATGGCAACTTTTTCTGCCTGGAAAATAGCCACAGAACTCACAATATTAATAGCATTTTGTAGGAAATAACAGCAAACAACTGCTGGTGGTTCTAATCTAATTATAAATTAGTGCTCAAATATGAACTCCAAAGCAGCAAAAAATTGTCAGTACTGTTACAAATCCAGAATGGAGAAGTGGTAAAATCCCCAGGTAGTGAAAATTAATAGTGAAAATTAACATTAATAGTAGTGAACATTAATAGTTGCAGGAGAGGCTTAGGGCTTCCCAAGAGGTATGCAGTATATTCATTTGGAGCTACCCAGAAAACAGACCGTAGTTAAGTCTGTTCGAATCCTAGAAGGGTATGGCTGCTGATGAGAACTAAATAGCTTGAAATAGATCTAGTCTCCCTTTATTTCTTTGTTGGTAAAACATAAATTTAACACAAAAATAGTTTTCGCTAAGCAACTGCCTGCGAAGGTTCCTGGATTGGGGCTAAAAGGCAAAAGCGGAAGCAGTATGCTTCCAGTATGCTCTGTCCCATAATTGGGTACACCAGGTTGCTCTAACAGACCTGTCTCACCGGGGGAAAAAAACACTTAGGCTGTAGTTAAGTTCATCTATCAATGCTGAAGACAATCTAGCTGCTGTACAGAAATTCCTCTGGTCTGATATGGCTCAGCGACTCCTAGCTGTTCATCCACAGCTCACATCAAATATTTTACCTGACCCTGGGTGGATTCTGCAACTTTAAAAAAAAAAAAAATCAGTGTTCTAAAAGCAGTAGTTGACAGCTTCCAAATTTATCAGTTAAGCAAAATTTGCATTGTTTTGCTTACTTTTAAACTTTCTTCATCCTTATGAATAAGTTTCCGGTGTTCTTGTGAGATAAGGAAATATTGGAGACCACAGAAAATCCATTCGATGAATTTTTGAAAATGCAATTTAATCCTGTTTATTGGCCACTAAAATTCCACAGCCATATCTTTAAAAGCTTCGAGGACAGCTTTTTTCCAGATCCACTCGGAGATCTCAAGACTGACCCAATCCCATGCTACTTACCTACTGCTCTTCCCCACAGAAACCAAGGTTTCAGTCTTTGCCATTTTACTTTTCTACTTTAGTCATGGGGAGGGGAGGATCATATTCAAGGAAGCAAATCTGTCATCTGCAGTCTGAGGTGGTGCATCCGATCTGGCAGAATGCTACATTGGACCCCAGGCTCACTGAGCCTCGAGGGGAATGCACCTCACCAACACGACCCCATTTTCATGTACTCCAGATCTGGTTCCTTGGAATAAATCATGGGTCAAAGAAGAGGAGTAATTATATCTATGTTGCTACACTGTGCCCGCTATGTTTTCTCCCTCCTTCTGCACCCTCAGTCAAACTTCATTGGAACTTCTTTTCCTAGGAAGGGTTTCTTAAAGAAATTCAGATTTCCCCAGCATCTGGTAGTAATTTTCTAAAAAAAATAAAAAAAAAATACAGCTCATGCCTACTAGGCAAATATTTTACTATCCAGAGAAGGAGGGAGCAAAGGAAAAGCAGGTCAGCAGAACCTCGTGCCTGCAAATTTGCCTCTAGACTAGAGATGAACAATCTCTGGATCACGACAGCGTACCCTTAGTTCTCCTGGGAAAGAGGGCTACTGAAGACTTAAGTGCAAAGTAGGCAAAACTATCTCTTGGGCTGGAATTTCCCCCTAGATTTTGAAAACCGTTTCGGTTTTACAGTATCAATGGCAGGAAATTGCTTCTGTCCTGTTTGACTGGGAGGGGACTCCTACAGTTCTAGGGACCCAATCTTCCACTTTTGGTTCAGGTGTCTAAGCCCCGAAGTTCAGAGGCATCATCCAAATGCCTGAGGTGGAACTTCTATAGAAGGAGGCGGGTAGAATTCTGAGAAGAGAATTTGCACAAGCCGTTTTATTTCCCCACTTGGGAAAGGCAATATTGGATCATAATGCGTGTGGACTTTATAAGTACTGAACACACGCTTTAGATCAGTCTGAACTGGGAAGTACATCGTCAGTTCCTGGCCCTTGAGTTATCATGTAATTCTAATTTTAACTTATTTAACTGTTGGTACAGTCAAGCTCAACTTATTAGAGAGTGCTGTTTATTCTTAAATCAAATGGAAGAGTAAGGCTATGGCTGTTCCTTCTGATAGGGATGTACTAGCTGAGGCTTCGAGGCTGTCAGTGGTCATTTAAAAACGTGAGTGTGGCCCCAAAAACCCTTTTAAAAGCTGCCACCAAACTGCAACGTTTTGTATGGCTTTCTGCACTTCAACATGCCATCACGTGCATGTATTATTTCAGATACATAAGTCATTACATCCCAACTGACTCACAGGTATGACGAAAAACACTATGCCAGCCTTTTTTGTTTGTTTGTTTGTTTGGATGCCCACCAACTGGTTTGAACTACAGTTCCTATCATCCACCCCAAGCCATATCAGCTCTTTGGCCACAGGCTGACTGGGGGGGGGGGGGGGGCACCCAGGTGTGGTGAGGGGGGATGAATTCTGGCTCAGAATCGCATCAATCCAGCTGACCTCAATCTGAAAAGGCTGTCCCATCCTTGCCCCAGGCATCTCCCAGTGTTAATAAGGGTTAGACATGCAGCATGAGACAGATCTGCCATTTTCAAGGCTTCCTCAATCATTAAGCAGGAAGGCTAAATAAATACACGCTCTTTATTCATCTGTAATTTATGTACATTGACAAACAGTACAGGCTTTCTTTGATTGTTTTCCTTAAAAAAGCAGAATTCATAAAAAAATGATTAGCAATGTAAAAAAACATGTACATACACACTCACACACATCACGGTGACTTGTGTTTATTCTTCCCATTTCAAAAGGAAATAGAATTCACCCAACACTCTCCCACCCCCTTCAAACACATTCCAGGGTTAGTGTACTCCCCCCTCAACCAACAAACCTATACAAATCTCATTGTATTTCTAGATAAAACACCTAAGGATTAAGGAGTGGCAGTTCACACCCCAAAAAGGCTCATGTATTAACATAACAAGGAAACTGAGGCAGAGGAGGGCTCCAACTTCTCAGAATCTCAGCCTCTCTTTCCTGTTGCTTTTAGGTTCAAAATGTACACAACATGTGAACCATCAAGCTGGACAATTAGTGTGCGCCTGTACAGATGGTTGCCTGGGAAGGCAGATCAAAGGGAGACCTCTTGGGGTGAGGATGGGAGAAGAGGGAGGACACATACTTTAAATGGGCTTAGACGTTCACTAAGAACCCTGTTTTCATTTAATCCCCTCTCCTCCTCGCAAAGTACAAAAGAAAGGAATGGCACTCAGAGTCTTAGCTTCTGCTCCACAGCCTCCTCAGTGGTTGTCCTGGAGTTCCAGAAGGCCAATTTTGGCTTTCTAATAGCCACAACACCAGCAGATGGTCATCCTTTTAATCTCTGGCTGATGCAAATTCCCCTTCCCATACTGTATAGACATTATATGCTCATATCTGGTGGCTCTACCCTAATAACCTTTACCCTGAGATTCTTCTTACTTCAAGCCAGGTGTGCCTTATGTGAAATGAGACAATCTGTTCCAGTCCATCTTCTCTGTCCGTAACAAAACAAATTAATTACTAATGATTCAACATTTGCCCGGTAACTCCCAAACATTTAATATTCTAAACATACACTGAAGGAAGGAAAGAATTAACTACACCTCAAACTTGGTTCCCTTTCCACAATGATTCAACAGCAAAGCTGGAGAAGGAACAAAAACAGAATGCCAAGCAACTCAAATACCCAATACCTTGTTTTCACTGGCCTGGTACTGCCACATACACACACCCATACACAACCTTTCTTGTTCACTTTTCATCTGCTTACAGTAGATACATTTTTCAATTTTTGAGCAAACAGCTCTAAACAAGCTAATTCCTATTACTTTCATACACCTGGCATTTAAAAAACCATTTGTATGTTCTCAAAGGGCAAATGACATTTTTCTTCACATTTCTCTCTTTATGTGCTGATATATATCCCCCTCTCAATCCTTCTTCTGACTATATCTTGTGATTGTGTACTTTTATTAAAAGTACACTTCTTTATAAAATTTCTTCCTGCTGACCAGACATAAGGAAGTTCTTGGGGCAGAATATTCCCAAAACAGTTCTGCCTTGAGTTGCGTTTCAGGAGGCAATGTCACCAAGTGCAGGACGGAGAGGAAAGTTAGAAGTCAAAGAGAAGGTGAACAATTCAAGCAAACAATGGCAGGTACCAGCTGAAGTGTGTGGAGAACTATACATAAATATGTAATTGGACAAAATAACAATTTATGGGTCTATAAAGCTGAATAAGTTGGGAAGCAGATGAGAGAAAAAGGAAGACAATATGAGTGGTCAGCACACAGTGGAGAACATAAAGACCAAGGCAAAGAGGGGGAGGAGATGAAAAAGCAGAGAAGACCTAGGGAAAGAGAGGTCAGAAGTGAAAAAGATGGACATTGCAAAAAAGGGCTCCAGGTTTTGTGAACCTTCACAAGAAACTAGTGACAGGTAATGCAGGAGGTGTTCTGTTCTTCTCAACTGATCAGTACTGACTTGGACAGGAAGCCATCTGTAGTCACGGAAGGAAGTTCCTTGCTTTGTGCTCCATGGCCCTGCTGCTGGATAGCTGCACCCACCAGGGATCGACTGGACAATGGTCCCTTGGGCAAGCTGTACAGATAGACAGCCCCTATGACCAGGCCTGCTCCTAGGGCAAAGAGTAGGTTGAGGTGGAAGTCAAAGAGGTAGATAGAAGCCACGGTGGACACCACAATGGAGAAGGAAGTGGCAAAGCCTTTGAGGATGTTGTCGGCGTATTTCACAACCAATGCCACCAAGAGGCCACCAAAAGCCTGATTCAGGATCACTCCCCACACCAGTGGGGTGTAGCCAAAGAAGAATCCATGCTGAGCTACGGCTGCCCCCTCGGTGGACCACAGCCCCAACAGCCCCAGCAAGGTCCCGAAGATGCCCAGTTGGACGTTACGTAGCCAAACCGAGGCTGTGCTGCCTTTGAGGATCTTTTCAAAATAGACCCCAGCAAAGCCAGACGAGAGGCAGGACACCACCACGGCCACAAGTCCCACCATGTAGCTTTGTTGCATCCCCTGGCCTTTGTGGGCGGGTTTGCCCCCTCCCTGCTGCTGCTCCACCTGGACAATGGCTACACCGGCAAAAAGCAGCAGGAGGGACAGCCACTGAAGACGGGACAGGCTCTTGCGCAGCATCAGTACCGAGAAGACAGCGGTGGTGAGGATCTTCAGCTGGTAGGTGACCTGGGAAAGGCAGTGCAGTTTAGTAGCCACCCCAATATGCCATGAATCAGGAAGCTGCCTGCCACCAAGCCAGGGGCCTAAGGATTATGTAGTTCTCCTTAGTCCCAGATTCTACATTATGCATGGACTCTCCAGATTGATTGGACCAGAATTCCCGGCAGCTTGGGGGAGTGGCAGCTCCACTCATCCAGAAGATATCTGGTTAGGGAAAGTTAATCTAAATCACTATAGGGATCCAGATCCCTCTTCAGTTCTTATTCCCTATTTGCAAAATGAGACCAAAATTTCAAAATGCTACCACACTGATTTAATCCACCTTAAATTATTAATCTTACTGGGGGGGTGGGGAAACAAGGTTACTGAAAACTATAGTTGTTTAGAATCAAATATCGGATAGCCAAGATTGTATGTGTACCCTTATTTCATCCCTTAAAAGTGGATTAAAAAGTGGAGATGGCAACAGTTTGGCCAATTCAGCATCCCATTATTGTTTGCTTTCCTTTTTAAAGAGAGAGGAATTCCCTGCTATCTATGGTAGTGTGTCTATTTGTTTGACAATAACAAGAACGCCTGCTAAGATTTCAGAACCTTGTAATTCAGCATGTTCCCCCCTAATTGATTATCAGAAATGAAGTATGTTAGACCAAATCATAAAAATATTCAAAATTGTGCAGAGCAAAGAGATTTGCTTAAGTTCCATAATTCACATAAACATCATTTAGCTTTTTCTAAAGACAGAAAACAGGCTCCCTTTGCATATATCCAGGTATATATGGTTTTGAAATAATCTGACATGGGCAGTCCTTTCCAGACAGGTAGCTACAGTTCCCACCTCTGTGGTAAACAACCTTAATGCCACCCAAATTAAATGAAATCAAACAATAACACGGGGAACTCATTGTATTTCTAGGTATGTATACAGGATTTCAATAAGAACTGTCCAGGAGACTTAAAGGAATATAATTCAGGATCGCCACCATCCTGACTTTGATGTGGGGAAGAGGGACATATTAAAAGAATGGCAGATTATATATAAAGTGGATGAAACTGAAGGACATTCTCCTTTGGAAAGATGCTTCTAACATTTCCAGAGAGCCCTTTAGAGAGGAAGTGACAGTAGGAGGAGCATCTCACCTGGAAGGTAGCTGCTGGCAGGTTGGAGATGGCCACATACTGCAGATTGTTTTGGAGGGTGTAAATGAGAGAAGGCACTGCTAGCTTCAGAGTGTCCATATACTGTACCAAAATGGAATCATACAAAGAGGCACCAAACTGTCTCAGATTACCTGGAAAAGGATACAGACAGGAAACTGTTTCTTGTACATATCAAAGCACAACAGATTTTTTTTTTTTAGTCTTTTTTGTTTTGACATGAATAACAATTGCAAAAGGGAGAGATCCCCAGTTCTTACACATGGCAAATATTTGTTCTTTTCCTGTCTTTGAGAATACTCAGGAAAAAGCAAAAAAAGGCAGAACCAGAAATATTACTCTTCCCCGAGGACATGGTGTGCAATAATTCTTCTTTCAGCACTCAGGCGTAAGAAAAAGTCACGGGTATTCATAATTGAGAGGGGAAGAAACGTCACAGAAGGGTTTTTAGTTGTATGTATTGCACATCCTAGAGTTTTACAGCCTAGATCAGGGCTGTCAAACTCCCAGCCCGCAGGCCAGAGGCGTCACGCACTGCCCACACCCATGCTGGTTTAGCATGGGGGGAGAAAGTCCCAATACATCATGTGATGCCGCCGTGATGACGTTTGACAACCCTGGTCTAGATCCTTTAATTAATTTCAATAAAACCTCTGTGAGTAAGCCCCCTGGCAACAATAAATTGTTCTAGACGGCTCTAAGAAAATGGAGGCTGCAAAAGAGATCAAGGGGAAAAGAAGAAAAATGGTAATTAGAAAGACTGTCTCTGCTGGGGCTTTGATTTTATTGGTTTATTCTTTAGGCTTCAGCCACAATGGCCATGAGGCTCCCTATAGAATAGAATTCTTTATAGAATTCTTTATTGGCCAAGTGCGATGGGACACACAAGGAATTTGTTTTGATGCAAATGCTCTCAGTGTTCATAAAAGGGGAAAAAAATACATTCATCAAGAATCATAGGTATAACTCTTAATAGTAGTCAAAGGGTACAAATAAGCAATCAAATCATACTAGGAAACATAATAAGCAATCAAATCAAATTATACTAGTAAATAGTCAATAAAAATACAAGCAACAAAGTTACATTCATGCAGTCATAAATGGGAGGTGGTGGTGAAAGGAAGGAAGGAGAAGATGAATAGTAATACCCTGTTTCTCCAACAATACGGCCTCCCCCAATAGGAAGTCCCAGCATGTTTTATAGGCATGAAATGAAATGAAGCCCCTCCCCCCACATTAAGGCCTATATTAAAACATGCGAAATGGGGGGGGAATGGTGGGGGGGCTTGCCATTAGGAAGTACTTTTGTTGCACACCCGGATATGGTGCTGCCTGCGTTGACCCCGATACGAAGTGCCCCACCAACGCTGAGGTCAACATCCAAGCCATCGCTGCCTGCCTGCCCGAAGATGCAAGGGGGGGGGAATTAAGTCACCCCCCGAAAAGACGGCCTAGCCATTTTTTCGGGGCTCAATAAAAAATAAGACCCGGTCTTATTATATGAGAAACACGGTAGTAATGCACATTTAGTAAATAGTTTGACAGTGTTGAGGGAATTATTTGTTTAGCAGAGTGATGGCGTTTGGGGAAAAAATTTCTTGTGTCTGGTTGTTCTGGTGTGCAGTGCTCTATAGCATCGTTTTGAGGGTAGGAGTTGAAACAGTTTATGTCTAGGATGTGAGGAGTCTAAATATTTTCACAGCTCTCTTTTTGACTCGAGCATTATACAGGTCCTCGATTCTCATGGTTCAAGACCCAGGTATTTTCTCACAATGGCCCCTGCCCAACCAGTAAGCTCTAAGAGTATGGGCTTCCTCAAGTAACATCATTGCAGGAAGCTCAGGGATAAACCTCTTCCATTACTGTTCCCTCTTCTCTAGAATGATATCCCATCCGCAGATCACACTCTCCTCTACACGTGTTCTGTGAAGCCTTTAGTCCTGGCTGTTTCACGGTTAAGGTCTGGCAAATATAACAGCTCTCCTGTAAAAGAATGATTGTTGAATATGGGGTTTTACAGGGCTTATTCGGGGTTATTGTTGAATTAATTAATGAATTATTGTGGTTGCTGCCCTTTTAATTTGATTACACGGTGAAATATGCAGGTTGCTCTGAGTTACTTGGTAAGTGGTCCAGCATGTAAGTAAATAAAATAAACATTTACAAGAAAATGCACTGCTACCTTACATCAATTGGTCAGTTAACTAGGTGTTTCATTTTGTATTTTGGCTCTTTAAAAATAAATGTTTATATTTCTATTTACAGAAGTAGTTTTGTGACTGTAAATGCATGTTTTAAATTATTCATTGATTCGCATTAATTGAATTGTTTAATTATATAATTGTTTCTTTCTGGGTCCATAGAAATATTTTTTCTTGCTTGTTTTCTTCCCATTTTTGTATACAAGTTGCAAGTACTCAATCATGTTATTTAAAGTTATGGTGAGCCAAATCCAGATATGATCATAAGGAATAATGCGCAGAAATGACATAAAAGAGGTTTAGATTTTTCAATTCAACCATTAGATTGGGTCAAAGGCAGAAACACAAATCTCAATTCAGCAAGACTGTTAATGAACATGGAACAAGGTAGGGAGAAGCAATCCCTTCCCCAAGGGCCTCCATTTTCCTTGGTGTGGTATTCCCACCTCGCTTCTGAATAAAGATGAGCAGTAGGCAGGTGATTCCCTTAAGAATTTCAGCCATAACCACCGCTGTGGTAGCAAAGAATCGGTCCCCTGGCAAGGTGCGCACATAGCGAATGCTGAGGATGAGAGAGGCATTTTGCACCACCAAGACTGCTAAACTAATGTACTTCAATTGTCGGTTACCTAGAAAAGGAAGAGTAGAAAACAGCTCAGTATCCTTTTACCAATATCACTCCCCAACAGATTCACAAGAGATACTACTGCACTGAGAACATGATCCCCATCTAAAAACAGCACTAGAAATTTTGATGTAAGAAATAATTGAGAACATCTGGGTCCCCTCTAAGTTTCTTATATCAGAAACCACTAAGAACATAAATAATCAAGGCTTGAATTCACAGAAACCAACAGACACACATAGACCAATTCCCACCTTCTTCCCTTAAATTCCAGCCCACTAGCTAGGATGCAGAATGGGGATTGTCAAGGTGAGCAGAAGAGGACAATCCTGGCTGACACAAGCGATCTGCAGGCTCAGTTTTATAGTCCCTAGACTCCAGCTTGCACTGTCAAAATTCAACGTCAAAACCACAGGTTTCTGCAGGCACCATTTTTCTTATCAAAATTTATTCCTCCTTTCCATTTAACTTCATTGAGGCTTATTTCATCCCTTAACCTATTACCCCAAAAAGGGCCAACAATGTCAGCCATCATCCCTGATTAAATTTCCAACACTAGTTTACAGATGCAATCAAAGTTCAAAGCGTAATCCTATAGAGTCAATTGGAAAGTCTGAACCAATCTTGAGGAATGGAAGTGAAAAACTCCAATTTACCCACTTTCATTTTCCAAGAGCAGAAATCTTAATAAATTACTGACCATGTCAAAAGGGAATAGTGTATGTTTTTTGTTTGAAATGTTTGAAATGGTTTTGATAAATATAACGAGTGATAAACACTTAGATCCAATACTGTAGCTTCTTGACGTCAAATGGAAACATGTTTTCTCTCTAATCTAATTGGCAAATAACAAAAGTAATTCAGAAGCAATATCTAATGACCCATATCTCAGAACTCCAGCAATATCAAAAAAAGGTTAAGGATTTCCATCCGTCTGTGCTAATGCTTAAACTGGATTTTTTTTTTCTCTGTTCTTGTGCCTGTCAATTTAAAAGGCACGTTAGACAGGAAGTAGAGAGCAAAAAAACAGGTGTAACCTTATCTTGCAGTGCAAAATTCCCCTTCTAGGAACAAAAGTTAATTTGTTTCTTGAATGAAAACCAAACAGTAAGGAAACTAGTGTAAAAAAAAGGACTTGTTTATAATATGATGCACTTCAAACATAATTGTCTACATTTGGTCTTTTAACTTACAACCATTCATTTAGTGACCATCTGAAATTACAACAATACTGAAAAAAATGACTTATGAGTGGTTTTCATACTTACGACTGTTGCAACATCCCCATGGTCACAATAAAAATCCAGGCACCTGGCAAATGGCATGCATTTATGACAGTTGTAGCATCCTGGGGTCATGTGATTGCCATTCGTAACCTTTTCAGCTAGCTTCCGACAAGCAAAGTCGATGGGGGAAGCCAGATTTGCTTAACAACTTCATGATTCATTTAACAATTGTAGTGATTCACTGAATAACTGTGGCAAAAAAGGTCATAAAATGGGGCAAAACTCACTTTAACAACTGCCCTCTTTAGTAAAGGAAATTTTGAGCTCAATTGTGATAATATACACTACTTTTATATATGAAATGTTTCAAGGAAGTTTGCCTTACAATAAATTGTTCCCTAATCACACTTGCCAGCTTAAAGACAGGACTGTTTTATCCTTGATCTACCACACTAGCTTTCAAATGTATCTACCTTAGCTTGCAGTAATAGTTTTAAAATTATTACGGCATTTTAAGTAGTCCATTTGTCCACAACAGCAATTACCTGCATCACATGAGGAAACTAACATTAGGAAATTGTGTATAACAATGTTTTCAGGATTATCTCCAATAGCTATTACTTGAAACCTCAAGGGAACTCTTCTTGCAGCCACTATGATAACTACCAGCCCTTCCAATGTACTTTTTAAATTAAGTAATTGGCTAACACACCCCACTCTCAGCAGTAAATGGGTGTCTCTCTCTGTGTGTGTGTGTGTATAATGTATATGTATATATGTGTGTATGTGTATATGTATGTGTGTATATATGTATATGTATGTTTTCTTAAGTTTTCGCGGGTACTTACATGTATGGTATTCAGCTTTGTTCGGGTATTTTCCCAAGTCATTGTAGTTGTGCTTTTAAAGTTGTAGCAACGTTTCGGCAGAATCTCATCTGCCATCATCAGGCTTCTGTATTGTGTTCGTCTGTGAGTTAGACTTTTACAGTTGTAAACAACGTTGCTACAACTTTAAAAGCACAACTATGATGATGTGGGAAAATACCCGAACAAAGCTGAATACCATACATGTATGTATGTATGTACGTATACATATACACATACATACATATATATATATATACACATACATACATATACACACATACATACGTACACATATATACATGCACATACACACACACACAGAGAGAGAGAAATATGTGGGAAGAAGGATGTTGAGGACTATTTCATTTCTTCAAGAATTCCTACCCATTCCAGCACATTAGCTACACTTCCCTCTCCTCCCCGAGGCCAAAAACTCAGAGAAGGCTCGCTCGAAGGAAAGGAAAAACCTTTCTGGAGAAGGAGGCAACACAGCCTCACCGTAGGGAGCAGGGAGATTGGAAATCGGTCATTTGGAAAAGATTTGTAATTTGGTGGCTACACAAGGAGAAACTCGAAACGTCCCCACTCCTCCCTCCTCCTCCTCCTCTCTCACCTGCCGTCGCCACCGGACTGTCAACGCCGCCTCCCGGGCCCCCAGCTGCTGCCATGGTGGCAACCGCTGGGCAGCCGAGCTTTCCTACTGTAACGGACACTTCCGCATCCTACTTGCCGGCCTAGTTCCGCTTCCGGGAAAACTTTAGCTAGCCATAGAGATGGCACTGAAAGCGAGAGGGTAGGCGGGGTCAAATTCCAGCTTTGGTAATATCCTTCCTAGAGCGTCCCAACGGGGCCGAAGTGGTGATGTTGACAGAAGAGTTGTACAGTTTTGCAAAGAGAGACGGATCAATTGCGCATTTTTCGACTCGCGAAAACATAAAGTACTGGTCAAGTGTTGGGATCCTTCTGCAGAAGCCAGAAAGCTGTAGCCCAAGGAAAACTGGTTTTTTACAGCGGGCATTGATCAGACAGGAGGGATGTTGCAATGGGAAAGGAGATGAAGAAGAGGGTTTAGTATGGTGGTTAAGGAACAAGGCTAGAAACCAGGAGATTGTGAGGCCAGTCCCATCTTAGGCATGAAAGCTGGCTGGGTGACTTTGGGCCAGTCACTCTCTTTTCAGCCCATGATATCAGGCTTCGGCAACAAACTGGTCAGTCAATTAATGCTGCAACCAGGTCAACCTGATACTCCTGCCTTTTATTTTTCCCACAACAACTCTATCCAGTAAGTTGGGCTGAGAGAGACTGGCCCAAAGTCACCCAGCCGGCTTTTATGTGTGAAACAGGACTTGATCTCCTGGGTTCTGGGTTAGGGCTTCCAAACTATACAAAATTGATTCAAAACTGATTCAATGAGATGGCCCAATACTAGGTACTCAGTGTATCCTCAAGTATTTGACAATTGTGCAAGAAGTGAAAAAACACAAGATTGGAGAACTAAATACAACCTTAAGAGGTGGTTATGGTGGGCTTAGGACAAGGCAAAAGGAACATAGGATGTGTCATTCAGAAATGGATTGTGGGGGTTTTGGGGCCACAATCTCAAACTCCTAGTGACCCACTTCAACAGAAAATAAAAGTCTTTCAGCCTGAATCACAGAAATCTCAGAAACTGGACTGCTGTCATTTGACAATTTGAGTTGCCTCCCAAGTTGCTAAGAAGACAACAAAGGCATCTGCAAGATTGGAGGCTTTCCTCATTCTGACAAAGAAACAACACTGCCTGTTTAATGTATGTGTTCAACACTATGATACACATACATAAAGGGTAGAACATCATGATGGCATGACACTCCAATGTGGGACCAGGGAGTATCACTGCATGTGATACTTCTAGGACACTTCTGGTCACAAAGTGGGTCAAGACAGAGCAACCACACAATCAAAACTCTTCCCCTTTGTACATGTGCGCAATTGTGTTACACATGCAAAAAAAAACCACACAAAACAATTCAGTGGATGCCACTGGTGTCAGGCAATGTCATAGTCTTTGTTAATAAAAAAGCCCCAAGAGTACCACATTCGTGTCAGTCCAGTTTCTGCTATTGATTATATAGCATCATGGTAGCATCAACTTTTAGTGACCACATAATTTTATTTATGATAATTTGCTCTAACCTGGTGGTTCAGATCTTCCAATGGGTCTTCTTGTCACTGTAACTGAGTCCATCCATCTTGCTACTAGTCATCATCTCAAGGTTAGAGCCTTCTCCAGAGAACTTTGCATATTGTGTCCAAAATGACCGCTATTATAAAGGATGTTCTGACATGATTCGGAGCAAGTAAAGGGCCAATCGGATTCTTAGGATGTTAGAAAAACAGGTCAATTGATAAAAGGATCGGTGTGGCATTTCTGAATGAAATTAATCTGGTTGACTCCAGTTGGTCACTGCCTTAGATTACCTTAAGTGCAATATGTGATATCAGGTCAAACATGCATTTGGAGTACAGGTAGATCTCAATTTACAACTACCGTGTTTCTCATATAATAAGGCTGGGTCTTATTTTTTTTTGAGCCCCGAAAAAATGGCTAGGCCGTCTTTTCGGGGGTGACTTAATTCCCCCCCCTTGCATCTTTGGGTGGGCGGGTGGCGACGGCTTGGATGTTGACCTCAGCATTGGTGGGGCACTTCATATTGGAGTCAACGCAGGCAGCACCATATCCGGGTGTGCAACAAAAGTACTTCCTAACGGCAAGCCCCCCCCACCATTTCCCCCCCATTTCACATGTTTTAATATAGGCCTTAATTTGGGGGGAGGGGCTTAATTTCATTTCATGCCTATAAAACATGCTGGGACTTCCTATTGGGGGAGGCCGTATTGTTGGAGAAACAGGGTACAATTGGGACCAGAATTTCCATTGCTAAGCAAGGCAATTTTTAAATGAGTTGCACCCAATTTTATGACCTTTTTTGTAATGATTGTTAAGCAAATCAAGCATACGGTTGTTAAATGAATTTGGCTTCCCCCCCACTGACTTTGCTTGTTGGAAGGTGTCTGGGAAGGTCACAAATAACAATCATGTGATCCTGGGATGCTGCAACTGTTGTAAATATATGCCAGTTGCCAAGCACCCAAATTTTGATCACCTTCCCAGAGGGAAGGTGGGATGATTGTAAGGGTGAGGACTAGTCATAAGTCACTTTTTCAGTGCCATAACTTCAAACGGTTGCTAAACGAATACTTGTAAGTCGTGGACTACTTATCACGATGGAGTGCTGATTTGCCTCCCATTTAGAAGAGTAGTAGTTTGCCAGTAAAACATGTTAACCGAATGAGGCCTGGTGGCACTTCAAAAGAGAAGGTCGCATTTCAGCTCATTGCCGTCTTAAATCACCTAGAAAGCAGCATCCAGCTTCAATAGTAGAATTCATCATATCTAATGCCTCGGATTTACTCTTCTTAGCAGATGTTGCAACTGGGAAGGGCAAGAGCCAGCACATCACGGATGCAGGCAGAAGGCATACAGGTGGACAGACCAGCTATTGTCAGGGTGTAGCGACTTCCTGTGTACTCAAGTGCTAAGTAAACTCTTGTGTGACGCTGGAGGTGCGTCACTTACTAGAACTTGCTTGGCACTCCCAGACTGGCACCCCAGAGGGTGGAATTTACAGGAACTTGTCTTGTTGGTTTCATTAGACTGGCATTCTTCCCAGTAATGGAATGTTCTACATTTAATGATGGGTGTGAACCTCAGGTCAAATCCGGGTGAGAGGAATGCCTAATGTTACCTACATTCAGTTCTTTTCTTCTAGGAGGGTCTGAATATAAATAATGCTATCTGCATGTAAGACTGGTGAATAAAGACAGGTACATGTAATATGTGTGTGGTGCATTTGTGCACACATCGGATCCATTGTGATGTTAGAGGAGATGGTAGCATGGATAACTTTCACCTAATTGGGATCCTGCAGCAAGTGCAATAGTGTTGTAATGACGAGGCAGTCAAATTGTTTGATCATGAACAGCTGAATCATGATGATCTTTATTGGAGTCTAGTCTTGCATTTATATACATTTTTAGTTATCCTCCATCACTGGTTAACTTTGGTTACTGCTTAACTTTCGTTACTGTTTAGCACAGTAATCCATACAATTAATTATCTCTAGTTAAAGTCTAACATATGTTTACTTCCTCTCTCTAATCCTCCTTTAGATTAGTGACTTTGTTTACCTGAGTTGTATTTACTTGGAAACATTCTTTATCTGAAGTTTGCCATCCGAGATTGGAACATTCCTGCAATTACAACTCTACATATCCTCGTTTTTTATTTTAAATGGAGGATTCAAAGATTTATGAATGTATCGAAATTGTAGAGGATTAAAAGAGGGGGAAGCAGGATGAAACAATGCGAATAAATTTGGAATACATTGAATAAAACAACAGGTTGCAATTAGTACAATAATAATAATTATAGCATAAAAGAAAAACTGTCTGAGCCAAGACCAATCAGGGAGCCAATTGGTTAGCCACTCAAAAGGTGAGTAATGAGCATGGATATTATTTTGAATGCATGGTTGTAAATTGGCAAGCTCATCCTCAATAGTTTTATTCAAAGAATGAAAATGCACAGCACATCCACGGTGTCCAAGTAACGTACAGAATCCTCCCTGACGGGCTAAAAGATAGTCTATGGCAAAACGCTGCTGTAAGACATCTTAATTTAAGTCTTCTATTTCATGCTGCAAATCACGAATAATAGCAGCGGTAGCATTGATGGATTTTTCAAGTCTGCAGTGAGACCAAGAATAGATCGTCTGTTTTCTTGAGCAATTATGCCAGGATAAGAGCCTAGAGTAAGGACTCCTGTAACGGCCCCTGCCAATGCACGTCCAAATGTAGAACCAGAAGACAATTGTGTGTCAATAATGACTTCATCATTACATGTAGGCCCCAGAGAGGAACGCCGCTGTCGAGTTGATGGGAGCATACCTATTTGAACAGGTAGAGTAAAATAACTTATAGTTGCACATTGATAATTCTGAGGATGAACATTAGTGGCATATTTATCAAAAAAGAACCACATATTAGGATCCTTAAGCTGCCAACCAGCGCATATTGATCCTGTATTAGATTGATCAGAGGCATTAAAAATAGGAAAATTGTCAGGATACATATCAGGAGCTATATTAATTCCATGCAAAGAAGAATTAAAGGTACCTGACAAACAATAGTAGTCAGAACAATAACTATAATTCCCTAGTTTTTTTAATATGTGCTGAGCAGCATCATAATCAGACCAATTATGAAGCCAAGTGTGTTTAGCGTGACAACAGAAACACAGACCCCTTGTAAATTGACTAACTTTCAAGTAACGCCAACGGACAGAATTCAATTGCATAGGGGGTGTAGAAAATAGCCAGGAGTGTGCAATAGATTGTAGTTGTGAGACAATAAATGTAGAAGACATGATCAAGTTAGGGGTAAAAGAAATTTGACCAAATGCCATTGGGGGCTCATAGTATAAAGTAATATTTGTGCCATGGGTCATAAACATGTATTGGGCATGACGAACCCACAAATTAGGGTTAAGACGAACCACAGAAGTGTCATTTTGAGCAGAAACACCATTAACCATAAACAAAAAAATACAAAGTAAAATGGTAACAGAGTTAGCAGTAATAATAGCAAAAACAGCAGCAACAAGATTTTCAGGAGTCTGAGGTAATGAGGCCTGT